TCTGGAATCCCTGGAGGAGCAGGAACTCCCCCCCACCCCTTGGAGAGCCCTTTGGGCCCAGCCCAGGATCCCCAGGATTTGGGCTTTGCTCCCCACAAGGACCCAAAGCCAGGGGGTGCTTTGGGGCAGGGCAGGTCCCAGCCCCGCAGGGATCCCGCGGGAGCCGCTGGAATGTGGCTCTGGAGCGGCTCTTTCACCTCCTGCCCCCCCTGAATCCCCAGGGCTGGCAATGCTGCCCTGGCTCTGGGATGAGGCTCAGGGAGCCTCCTGGGCAGCCCAGGGCTGGGCTGGCAATGAGCTCAGCAGCTCTGTCTGTGCCGCAGGGACGAGGGTTGTGCCCTCAGCTCCTTCCCGGGACCCTCTGGAGCCCAGGGAGAGGCGGGGCTGGAAGGGCCGCTCCCACCTCGGCATCCTGGAATGCTCTGCCTGGGAATGGGCCTCCAAGGGACCCTAAAACCCCCCCAGTGCCACCCCTGGGACACCTCCCCCCATCCCAGGCTGCTCACAGCTGGCCTTGGACGCTCCCAGGGGTGGGGCAGCCACAGCAGCCGAGACCCTGGGACTGTGGAGACCCTGCCAGCTGGGAATCCCAAAATCCCTCTGCCCACCCCCATTCCCTGCCCCAGCCCCACCTGGGGGTGCAGGGTCCCCAGCAGGGCGTCCAGCTGCACGTCCAGGCTGCGGCTGCCGATGTTCACCGAGGCCTCCAGGATCTGGGACAGGCTCTGGGAGGGCACAGGGGGCTCAGGGGAGGGGGTCAAACCCCCCTCTCCCCCCAGAGCAGAGCAGAGCACCGTGACTTCCAGGCTGCCAGGGCTGGAATCGGCCCCAATATCCCAAATAAACCTCCCCTGGCACAGCCTGAGGCCGTTCCCTCTCCTCCTGTCCCTCATTCCCTGGGAGCAGAGCCCGACCCCCCCAGCTCCCCCCTCTTATCAGGGAGTTTTAGGGATCCAGAAGGTCCCCCCTGAGCCTCCTTTTCTCCAGGCTGAGCCCCCCCAGCTCCCTCAGCCCCTCCTGCTGCTCCAGCCCCTTCCCAGGACGCTCCAACCCTGGGATTTGGGACAGGGAGAGGCCCCTGCTCACCTTGGAGATGTAAAAGGCCTCGGTGTGTTTCTTGTAGAGGCCCAGGATGCCGGGAATGAGCTTTGGGAGCTGCTCCTCCAGCTTCTCGCTGGGCATCAGGTAACTCATGGGCCCCAGGGCCTCCACCACGGCCAGCCTGAGCTGCAGGGACACGGAGGGACATCCAGGGACCCCCAAACCCACACCCAGGGGGGCTCAGCCCTCCCAAACCCACACCAGGGGGGCTCAGCCCCCCCAAACCCACACCCAGGGGGGCTCAGCCCTCACAAATCCACACCCAGGGGGGCTCAGCCCCCCCAAACCCACACCCAGGGGGGCTCAGGCCCCCCAAACCCACACCCAGGGGGCTCAGCCCCCAAAATCCACACCCGGGGGGCTCAGCCCCACCAATTCCATACCCAGGGGGGCTCAGCCCTCCCAAATCCACACTCAGGGGGGCTCAGCCCCCCAATTCCCCACCCAGGGATGTCCCACCCCCCCAACTCCACATCCAAGGAGGTCTCAACCCCACAAATCCTCTCCCCAGGGAGGTCTCAGCCCCACCAACTCCACACCCAGAGAGTTCTCAAGGTCCCCAAATCTTCCCCCAGGGAGGTCTCAGCCCCCCAACTTCTCATTCAGAGAGTTCTCAGGGTCCCCCAGGGAGGTCTCAGCCCCCCAAACCCTCTCCCAGGAGGGTCTCATCCCCCCCAGTTCCACACCCAGGCACATCCCAACCCCCCAACTCCACATCCAGGAGATCTCAACCCCCCAAATCCTCTCCCAGGGGGTGTCTCAGCCCCCCAGTTGCTTCCC